CGCATGACTTGCACTCGCAATTCTCATTATATTAAATTATATGATATTTTCATCTTCATTCTTCATCCTCATCATATTTCATAATATCTCATACACATCATACACTTTATCATAATAATACAATAAGATGTCAATTCACATAAACAATAATGCATAGCATTAAAGCTCATATCACAAGATTAAAAAAACAATCTCAATATTGACATAGCATACTCAATTTAACCAATCATGAATCCATTTAATAACTGTAAATACATCAAATTAACATGCAAATATACATGGAGAAACTATAATTCGAACCTCTTGTGCCTGGGCCACGAAAGGGCTTTTTCAGGACTTAATTTTGTACCATTGTCTAAGGCACGGGTGATAATAATAACTCAAGGAGATCAATCCAATGGAAAGCAAATGATCACATTTATTTCACTTAATGGGGATCAAATTATGAGAGAGACATGTATCAAAATAGCCCTTCAAAGTTTGAGAGAGATACTATACAAAATAATGAAGTTATGGTGAAACTAAACCATGTAGTCTATAATGGACCACACAAACTTTTCAATATTAAAGGGGAACTCAATGGACTATTTCTTATGCTCAAATACGATGAAATAAACCTCTCATCAGTTGTATATTCTCAGTAAAAATTTCAGAAAAATAAGATCAAGAAATCAAGTTGAAACTACTCAAGATCATAAAGTAAGCAAGATAGTCTATACATACTATGTGGATGGACTACACTATTGCTTTGAGACTCTTCAAATATCAAGTTTTCATGACAAAAAATGAATAAAGCTACTGTAAATTAAGAATTACAACAAACTTTGATAATGGAAATGAGGTAGGAATTAAAAATATGAGAAGAAAAATCAATACATTAATGAAGCAATAGTATGGGCTTGATCACATAAATGATGGACTACTCCATGGAAGAGTTTTAAATGAAAGCTCAATGAAGAAGATAGTCTCATGGGTGACCATATTTTTGTTAATGGCTCTCTCTCTCTTCCTCTTTGAAGTGAATACTCAAGTTAAGCTTATAATTAATCCCATAAGTTACTTTTATAGTTAGATCATAAAGATGGATTTGACCTTGATCCTTGATGTATTAGATCAATAGCAAATGAGAGGTTTTTATCCAAGCCACTCATCTATATCTTATCACCAAGATCAATGGATGAGCTTTTGACACATTTCACTCCTTAAAACCTAGGTTTATAGTCATTTTACCTTGAAGCCCTTAGCTCAATGTTTTATTTCCCATTAAGTCCAAATTCATGTTTACACTTATGCACATGGTTTTTGAATAATTTGTGAGAGTCAATAAAATACAAGGACATGAATAAAAGTAATATGAGACATCCATACATGTGAATAAAATATCCTATGACACCACCAATAGGATTTTAACAATACTAAAGTTTCATATGGGTCAAGTCCATAAGGTGGTGCTACATAAGATATACTCACATACTACAAAATCATATGTGGATAATAATATGAATTAAATTAATTCTCAAAATTTCGTGACTTCACACATGCCAAATATGGTAAATATTCACAAAAAAAAACATGTGACTTAAATCAAACTTAAGTCATAACAATATATAACACTTTAAATAACAAGATAACATGTTATAACGTAATACCAACAAAAGAATTAATGACAAATAGGCCCCACATAGATATGACATCAGCATGATGTCATCCACGAGTGGGGAGGTGGGGGTGCCAAGTGGCATCCCTATGGCCACTTGGGATCCATGTGGCATCCCCATAGAATGTCTTTGTTTGGTATTTATGTCAAACAAATTTGAAAATCATATTTTATTGTTTAAAAAAAAACTGAAAAAATCTCCAAAATTCCTAAAAATTCTCTAAATAATTTCTCAATATTATTACACAATTTTTCATCAATATAAAATATTTTCTCATCAATTTTTTATTAATATGGGCCAAAGGTAAATGAGATCTTTAGAGTTATAACACTAGTCAGAGTCTTCCATTGGGCTAACCTCAATGACGTTCCACCGGTGTCTCAATCCGACCCAATTGATCTATGCTCCACAGTCTATGACAGAGACACATAATTTGTTACATCAAAGTCACCTGAGCCAGAGCTTCCCGTCACCAGGGGTTCAATGGATTACTAGTGCACCCATGGGGGATATGTTCTTGCTCAAATACAGGGGTCTTCTCAAAGCACATGCATACTAGCTCTTCTATGTCGGATAATACAATAGAAGAGTGGCTTCCCCATACGACTGTGGGTGCATTTGCCATGGAACGGTTTCGTGTCAGGATACGGGCTCATATCCCATGACCCGATCATTCAATACAAGCCAAATACTCTTTTAAATACCCAGGTTCTATTATTCTCGATTGGATTTTCCAAGCCCTAGCTTATCACATCAACTATGAGGCATTATAATCAATATAGTCATGACTGGGAGGTGACCCTCATACCTCTCCGAGAGTTTACACTCTTAAAACGTATACTCTCAATGCCTCAAATACTCGAGGTATATGAATCTGGGCCCCAGTGCGCCAAGCACCTAGATTCAGTCTCTCTCTAACTCCCACTGAGCATAAGACTATTGACTTTAAGGACTTGAAATGCCACAGCCAACATGGAGCGCACCGGTTTTGTTGGTAAAGAAGAAGGATGGGTCCTTGAGGCAATGCATTGATTATAGACAGCTGAATCAGGTTACGGTAAATAATAAGTACCCCTTGCCTAGAATTGATGACTTGTTTGATCAACTTAAACGGTCCAAAGTATTTTCTAAGATTGACCTCCTATGGGGTTATCATCAGCTGCGGGTTAAGGAAGAGGCTGTTCCTTAGACCGCTTTCAGGACCCGGTATGATCATTACGAATTTCTAGTGATGCTGTTTGGGTTAACCAATGCACCAACTGTTTTTATGGATTTGATGAACCGAGTTTTTAATTCCTGCATGATTTTGTGGTGGTTTTTATTGATGACATTCTGGTGTATTCGAAGAGTATGAAGGAGCATGAACAACATTTCAGAATGGTCCTCTAGACCTTAAAGTTTGAAAAACTGTATGCCATAGTAAGTAAGAGTGACTTCTGACTTTCGAACGTGGCTTTCCTAGGGCATATTGTTTCCAAGGACAGGGTTGTAGTTGACCCTAGCAAGATTGAGGCTGTGCTTAAATGGGGAAGACCAACAAATGTATCAGAAGTCCGCAATTTCTTGGGACTAGCGGGGTACTATAGACGTTTGGTGGAAGGTTTATCAAAGATAGCACTTCCCCTGACTCGCCTAACTCAGAAGGAAGTAAGGTTTGTATGGTAACTGCGAGAGAAGTTTTTTGGAACTGAAGAACAGACTGACTACAGCCCCGATACTGACCTTGGTTGAGGGGAATGAAGATTTTGTAGTTTACACTGATGCCTCGCCCAAAGGGCTAGGATGTGTATTGATGCAGTGGGGAAAGGTCATAGCTTATGCCTCCAGTCAGTTGAAGCCATATGAGCAAAACTATCCCACCCATGATTTGAAGTTGGCAGATGTGGTTTTCGCCTTGAAAATTTGGAGGCACTATCTATATGGGACCCAATTTAAAGTGTTTACTGACCATAAGAGCCTTAAATACTTATTTTCTAAAAAAGAATTGAACATGAGGCAAAGGAGATGGATGGACTTGTTAAATGATTATGACTGTACCATCAACTACCATTCGGATAAGACAAACGTCGTGGCAGATGCCTTGAGTAGGATACTCGTGGTATCAGTGGCTCACATAATTGATCAGGCTAAGCCAATCCTGTAGCTTGGAACCTCTACCCTCGTTCAAGAGAGAGGACAATGATAAGTGGGTGTCCCACTTCATAATGTCCTCACACACAGACACATCCCCAGCATGCTTTGGGGTATTTGATAGGCAGTGGCCTTGCAATACACGACTCTCTCCTTGTACCCTTTTGGCGAGAGGGCATTACACTACCATTGGGTATCCCAATGCGTAGTGCCCATAACAATTGAGGGGTGCGACCCTCCCTGTTACACAGTTTCCCTTCCCGACCCCAGTCCTTTCATTGGGGTCGCGGTACAATCAACTGTTGCCGGCAAAAACAGTATCCAACCACCAATGGGTGTCCCATTGCGTGGTGGTCAATATCTTAATATGTCACAGTATATCAGTATCACATTATTTCTCAGTATAACAGTGCCTACTACCAATAGGTGCCCCATTGCGTAGTGGTCAAATCTCACGACTTATCACAATATAGTAGTATCACAGTATCCAGTATCATAGTATCAATGTCATAGTATCATAATATCACAGTATCCAGTATCACAATATCAATATCACAGTATTACAGTATCCAGTATCACAGTATCAATATCACAGTATTACAGTATCTAATATCACAGTATCAATATCATGGTATTACAGTATCCAGTATCACAGTATCATATTCATAGTATCATTGTTTCAATTTCCTACAATTTTGACAGTGATGTCCCGTCACAAACCGGAACGTAACTTTTAATCTATTAAGAATTCAGGAGACGATTCCAAAACAAATTTTACAATAGACTCGTATATAT